CTTTTTGATGGTTCATTGGAGATAAGAGTCTCACAAGCTTTCCTTCCCAGGCTGGCTTTGAACTGCCATCCTCAGATCTCATCCTCCTGAGCAGTTAGGATGACAGGTGTGAGCCATAGCACCTGGATAATTTTGCACAGGCAGGCCTCAAACTGGGATCCTTCTATCACCACCTCCCGCGTAGCTGGAGGTACAGGCTTGTGCCACCATGCTCAGCTGGAATGCCTGGCATTCTGTGTTGGTCTTGGCTACTGTTCTCTGTCATCTCTGAGCTATGAAATTCCCTCTTAACAAAGCGCAACCCCTGCCCGGTGCTCAGATCTTAACTCCTCACATCAAAGAAAGAATGGGGATCGCTGTCCATGGTGCTAGACTGCACGGGCTCTAAGAAGCATGGATGGCGTCTGCTTTGTCTCTGCATGGAGCCAGTCGCGATTTGAGTTTTGTGGGACATTAGGGTCTCCCTCAAAACTCGTCAGCACTGCTTCTTGAGGGTGAAAAAACAGAGCTGATTCCAGGCACTCAGGAGGCTGAGATCTGAGGATCACGATTTCAAGATAGCCCGGGCAGGAAAGTTTGTGAGACTTTTATCTCCAATAAACTACTCAGAAGAAGCTGAAAGTGGTGCTGTGGCTCAAGTGGTAGAGCACTAGCCTTGAGTACAAAGAGGCTCAGGGACAGCACCCAGGCAGAGTTCAAGCCCCAGGACCGGCAGAGACAAAAACAACAACAAAAACAGCTGATGCATGCTGAACCAATGAAGCCAGATTTCAATGAAATCTTATATTTGGACACTCAAATTTGAATTCTGTGTGTGTGTGTGTGTGTGTGTACCGGGCCTTGAACTCAAGAGATCTTCAGCTCTCAGCCTCCTGAGTGGCTAGGATGACAGGCATGAGCCACCAATGCCCACCTTGTAATTTGAATTTCACAGCATTTTTAAAAATTATAGTTCAATATTATCCTTTTCTGATTTTTCTGAATTTATATCAACTCATTCTTTAGCTGTCAGGTAGTATAAAAGCAGGAATATGGAAGGCCATATTGGCTTGTGAGCTAATTTGCTTTTAAGTTTGGTAGAGCTAAGCAACTAGTTTTTTCCTAGACTGAGAACAGAGCTCACACCTAGCCAGAACAAACATTCATGGACTTTCTCTTCCTTTTTTATTTATTTATTTTTTTGTATTGGTCCTGAGGCCTGGGCACTGTCCCTGAGCTTCTTTTGTTCAAGGCTAGCCCTCTACCACTTTAAGCCACAGCTCCATTTCTGGTTTTCTGGTGGTTCATTAATTGGAGATAAATGAGTCTTGTGGACTTTCCTGTCCAGGCTGGCTCTGAATCATGATCCTCAGGTCTCAGTCTCCTGAGTAGCTAGGATTACAGGTGTGAGCCACCAGCACCTGGCTGTCTTCCTTTGTTTTTTTTTTCTTTTCTTTTTTCATTTTTTGTGTATGTGGTACTGAGGAATTGAACCCAGGACTTCATTCGTATTAGGCCAGCACTCTACCACTAAGCCACATTCCCAGCCCTGTCTTCCATTTTGATGGGAGAAATGCTTTGGATCTAATGGAATCAGGACTCACCCCACAATGATCAAAGCTGATGCCATGAGTGGAGAGGTATACCCGTCAGAGCTGTAAGGATAGTTAGTACCCGGGGGTCGATCTTTACAGTTCTAACTGCATTTCTTGCCTGTCAGGGCCCTTACAACCTCCACTGGCCTGAAGACAAGTATGAAGACCCACGGGGGATCTATGACCAGGTGGCAGGAGACATGGGCACTGTGGAGTCGGATTCTCTGCCCTTTGAGCTCAGGGGACATCTGGTGTGATGGCTGGTCCCACAGCTGCACAACTGAGCTTGTGAAGTTCGTTTTTTTTTTCAGGGTGGGGGGGAGGAACAAACTTTCTTTTTTTGTTCTGTTTTGTTTTTATTGGTTGTGGGGCTTGAACTCGGGGCCTGGGAGCTGTCCCTAAGCTCTACAGCTCAAGGCTAATGTTCTGCCACTTGAGCCACAGCACCACTTCCAGTTTTCTGGTGGTTTATTAGAGATAAGTCTCATGGACTTTCCTACCCAGGCTGGCTTTGAACCCTGATCCTCAGATCTCAGTCTCCTGAGTAGCTAGGACTACAGGTGTGAGCCACCAGGGCCCAGCTCAAGCTGGGACATGGGCTAGGACATGGGAAAGGACACGAGCAGGAGGGGTTGAGTTAAAGATGCCACACAACAAAAACCAAACTCTTGGCTCATTTTGAGTTCAAGTATATCTGAAATAGCAAGTAATAATAAATGGAATTTATGAACTAGTGTTGTCCCATCTATTCTTATTTTAATTTTGAGATTTCAATTTTTTATTGTTATTATAAAAGTGGTATACCATTTTGTAAGTCAGGTAATGAGTACCTTTCTTTTCGGACAAATGTCACCTTTTGCTCTGTCTCCTAGATTTCCCCCTCTCATCCCTACCCACAAATTGTATAGTTTGTTTTCAACATAGCTCCCATCTATTCTTGTTTGCTTGCTTGCTTTAGGCTGGAACTGGACTTGAACTCAGGACCTAGGACTCACACATTGCTTTTCAGTCCAAGGCTGATTTCTACCTCTTAAGCCACAATTACTCCATTTCTGGCTCTGTGTGTGTGTGTGTGTGTGTGTGTGTGTGTGTGTGTGTGCGCGCGCGCGCGCGCGTGCGCATATGCTAGGGCTTGAACATAGGGCCTAGATGCTGCCCCCTAATTTTTTCACTTATGTGTGGTGTTCTACCACTTAAGCCACAGCTCAATTCTGGCTTTTGGCAATTCATTGGAAATAAGTCTCACAGACCTTTTTACCTAGGTTGGCTTTGAACCATCATCCTCAGATCTCAGCTTCCTGAGTAGCTAGGATTACACGTGAATCACCAGCACCTGGACCTACTCTTGTTTTCTTTTCCACCATATCAAAAACATTAGAATAGGGCTGGGAAGGTGGCTCAGTGGTAGAGCGCTTGCCTTGCATGCCTGAGGCCCTGGGTTCGATTCCTCAGCACCACATAAGCAAAAAGAAAAAAGCCGGAAGTGGCGCTGTGGCTCAAGTGGTAGAGCGCTAGCCTTGAGCTGAAGAGCTGAGGGACAGTGCCCAGGCCCAGAGTTCAGGCCCCACGACCAGACCCCCCCCCAAAAAAAACACATTAGAATAGACCATGACAGACATGGGAACACACACTCAAAAAGCTGTAGATGAAAAAGAATGCCTATTTTATGATTTCCTTGATAAGCAAAACTCATGTTTATGAAATGAAAACCTTACTCTTACTAAGGACATGCTATTATGTCTTTAGGGTTCAGAGTCTACGGTGCCTTGGATTTATTCTTACACAGCTGAGAAAACATAGCATGCCATTTTATGTTAACTCAAAAATACCAATATATTTTAAACCATACCCCTAATTTTTATGCACGCCTTGATGTGTTATATTAATAATGTCAGGTAAAGATGAACTGTTTCTACGCACACAAACTCTTGACAGGACATTTTCAGGTAGTTGTGGATTTGGTGTAAAACCTTCATTTTCCTAAGCCCCTGATTTCTAAGTCTGAAGCATGTTGGGACAATGGAACCATCACAAGCATTTGCACAAAGCATCCACCAGGGGTCAGTACTGCCTCGTTTGAGAAAACTGGATGTAGCCCAGGAGGGTAGGGACTATATCTGTATATTCTGGGTCTCAAAGCAGAGTTCTATGGGCTGGAGGTTAATAGGGGCCAGTGGGTGTTGTCTGTCTATAAGCAGCCACTAGACCCCAGTGTTAAAGGACAAGTAGCTGTGCAGATGTAGGAGGTAGGACGCAAGCTTGTAGCTCATGCTGGTCATCTTAGCTGCTCAGGAGGCTAAGATCTGAGGATCACAATTCAAAGCCAGCCTGGGCAGATGCTATCTGTGATTCTTATCTTCAATTAACCAACAAAAAGTCAGTGGAGGTGTAGTTCAAATGGTAGAGCACCAGACTTGAGCAAAACAAACAAACAACAAAAAAGCAAAAGCATGCAATCTTCAGATCTCAGCCTCCTGAGTAGCCAAAATGTTAGGTATGTGTGGCTGGCTCTGTCTTTTGTGATAAGAGTTTTCTTGCTCTTTTCTTTTTTGGGAGAACCAAGGGCCTTACACCTGCAACACAGACACTATATCACCTACGCATGCTCCAGTCCTGTTGTAACTCTCAGATACTTCAATCTTCCTACCTATACTTCCCCATAGCTGAGATCACAGGGATGAGCCACCAAGCCTAATTTACTGATGTAGGATCTCACTAACCTTTTGCCTAGGCTGGCTTCAACGTTGGTCCTCCTAATCTCCACCTCCTGAGTAGCTAGGATGACAGATGTGTGCCATTCCTTGTTTTTTTTTTTTACATTTTGACCACCCATACAGGGGTTTTCATTTATGGACCAGTATATCTGTTGCCTGTCTAGCTTCTTTCACCCAAAAGGTCCATGTAGGATTTGATCTCCTGGCTGTGTGTATCCACAACTCATTTTTCACTACCATCTAATATTCCATTGAACGAATGCATACATTGTGGTATGACAATGTATCTCAATAGTCTCAATGGATGAAAATTTACACAGTTTACATTTGGGACTATTGCGAATGCTCTTTCCTGATATGTCTCTTCAAGTATATTTAATAACACTCCAGATACTTGTTCCTCCTTGTAAGCCCTAGAGATTGCAACAAGACATTCTAAGTTGCTGGTCCAAGATCTCCAAACCAAACCACTGTGAACCTTGTGCCCGTGAAACTCACTCACTCAGCTAGGAAGCACCGAGGTGGCTGTTGGGGGGCTGTCACTGGGGGGTTGCCTCTCCTGTTACCGTTAATTTGAACTCTGTCCCCACCTGTTAATAATTAACTGCCCACCTCAAGGAGTCTGTGATGCTAAAGGTTTTCCCAGTTAATCAGTCACAGCTGCACCCCCTGGTTGGGCTGGGGACAGGGGTGCATCCCTTGTTTCCAAAGCCCCTTCTTCTAGTGTGTCAGCTTCACAGGATTCTCCAATGCTCCAAGCCCAACGAGCCCTTTGTTCCCAGGCCAGGCCCTCGGCTGGGGGCTGGCAGGCCCTGCGTTTCGACGGTGGGGCCTTCCGTCTTAAGAGCACTGCAGAGCTGGCAAGGGCTTTGCTGGTGCTGAGGCTCTGTGCCTGGCCCCCTCTGGTCACCCATGGACTGGCGGTGAGCGGCGACTCCCCCCCCCTTCAAGGCCTGGCCTGGAGAAGGCAAGGGCCTCGCTCTGACCCTTCATTCCCTGGTCCTCAGCTCCAGTCCTGGGCTCAGCGGCTGCTGGGTTCCCGGATCTCAAGTGCCCTGCTGAGGTCATCCATCTATGGGCAGTTTGTAGCTGGGGAGTCAGTGGAGGAGATCAGGGGCTGCCTGCAGCAGCTCCATGCCCTGGGCCTCCGCTCCCTGCTGGCAGTGCCCACCGAGGAGGAACCAGATTCGGCCACCAAGACCGGGTGAGTTTGGGGCGGGGGTGGGGGGATGGTGGTGGTGGTGGTGAGGGCAGGGCGGTGGGAGGGGGTCCACAGGCTCCAGACTCTGACCTCTGCTGACTGGGCAGCGAGACCTGGTATGAGGCAAATCTCCACGCCATGCTTCGGTGCGTGGACCTGTCCCGAGACCTAGTGGTCAGCCCCGGCCCCAGGCTCATGCAGCTGAAGGTGACAGCACTCACCAGCCCGCGGCTCTGTGTAAGGCACTGGGGAGACTGGGAGGCAGGTGGGGTGCAGCCACCTACCGCATTTCCCTCACTGCTGTCACTCACGTGCACACGCCCCATTTCAGAAGGATCTAACTTCGTGGATCAGAAGGCCAGGGCCCTGTTCAGAGCTGAGCCCCGAGAGGCTGGCTGAGGCCATGGACTCTGGGCAGGTAAGGGCCATGACAGGAGGCTGCTGTGTGTGAATCCTCAGACCAATGGACTCTCTCTCTCTCTCCTCCAATCCTCAGATCTCAGCCTCCTGAGTAGCTAGGGTAATAATCATGAACCACTGGCACTTGACTTTCCTTGACTCTCCTCTTTTCCCCTCCTTCTTCTCCCATCCCCTTCCCTTTTCCTCCCCTTTCCTCTGTCCTCTCCCTTTTAGACAGGTCTTGCTGTGTAGCCCCTGCTGACCTCAAACCTGCAATCCTCCTAGTCCTAGGGTTTGAACTCAGACCCTGAGCACTCACTGTCCCTAAGCTTTTTTGTTGTTGTTGTTCAATGCTAGTGCCACTTGAGCCACAGCGCCACTTCTGGCTTTTTGCTGGCTCATTGGAGGTAAGAGTCTCCCAGACTTGCCTGCCCTGGCTGTCTTGGAATGACGATCCTCAGCTCTCTGCCTCCTGTGTAGCTAGGATGACAAGCGTGAGCCTCCAGCACCCGGTGTGCTTGTTACTTTTTTGACTTCTCACCATTTCTAAACTTACGGTGGAGAAGCTGAAGCATAGGTTTGAGAAGGATGCAGAAGTACTAACTACTCCCCGTCCCCCCCTCCCCCCCTCTTCTCCTCCGCTGCCCCCCGCACCCCAGAACCTCCAGGTGTCCTGCCTCAATGCTGAGCAAAACCAGCACCTCCAGGCATCCCTAACCCGCCTGTACCGGGTAGCCCAGGTAAGCCGTGAACCCAGGCCTCAACCCCCTCCGCCTCCTCCTCCCCCGCACTGCCCCCTGCCCCGTGGTGGGGACCACAATTTGTCCTCTTCAGTATGCCCAGGCTCAGCACGTGCGACTCCTGGTGGATGCTGAATATACCTTCATCAACCCTGCGCTGTGCCTGCTCGTGTCCGCCCTGGCCCTGCGCTACAACAAGCCTCAGGAAGGCGGGCCCTGGGTGTGGAACACTTACCAGGCCTATCTGAAGGTGAAGGGTGCACCCTGGGGGACTGGCGGGGGAGGGGAAAGAAACGCAGCACCTTGATCCACGGGAACCTGCTCTCCACCCCCTCCTCCCCTGTGCACAACAGGACACGCACGCGCGGCTGGCACAGGATGCTGAGGCCGCACACAGGGCCGGCCTGGCCTTTGGAGTGAAGTTGGTGCGAGGGGCATATCTGGAGAAAGAAAGAGCCGTGGCCCGGCTCCAAGGGACAGGAGATCTCACTCAGCCGGACTACGAGGCCACCAGTCGGAGGTAGGACCTGGCTGGGCTGGACTTGTGTGTGACAGGCATGCGTGGTCCCTGGGGAGGGGGGGCGGGGAAGGGATGGTCCTCTCCCACCAGGTTTGCTGAACAAGCCCCTCCTCTCAGTTACAGCCGCTGTCTGGAACTGATGCTGAGCCAGGTGGCCAGCCACGGACCCACCTGTCACCTCATGGTGGCTTCCCACAATGAAGAATCCGTTCACCAGGCCACTAAGCGGTACGAGGGGGCGAGGGGCAGTGGGTCCCCCTGAGAAGTCCCTCCTTTCACCCCCGGAACTCACACGCCTGGGGTGGGAGGAGGACATTCACAACAGCCACCACTATGCTCTGCCTGTTGGTCCCATAGGCACCAGTTGGATGAAGTATTGTCATTTTCTGGGGGTGTTGAGGAGGTCTGTGAGTCCCAGGGAGTGGCCAGGACCCACTGGAGGTGGGGATGCAATGTTCAGATGTTCATTAGAATGGCTACTTATCATCATGTTTGGAAGTGTAAGCATTTCAGTATCCATGGAAGATTGGGTCCAGGACCAACACCCCCCCAATCACCATGGAAACCAGAATCCATGGTTACCAATATCCTTGGATGCTCTGGTAGAAAATGATGCTGTGTTCGCTTATCACCTAGGCATACCTTCCCATAGACTTCAGATCTTTTCTAGATAACATAATTCCCTACAATGTAAATACTTATAAGTACAGCATTACATAAATATAAATAGTACAATATAAATAGTATATATAGTATATATATAGTATAAATATAAATAGTATAATACTATCTCTTCCTCCTCCTCCTCATTTCTCTTTTGTGCCAGTCCTGGGCCTTGAACTCATGGCATAGGTGCTGTCTCTGAGCTGTTTCATTCTTTTTCGCTCAAGGCTGGTGCTCTACCACTTGAGCCACAGCACCATTTCTGGCTTTTTGGTGGTTCAGTAGAGGTGAGTCCCATAGACTTTCTTGCCCAGGCTGCTTTCAAATCTCCATCCTCGGATCTCAGCCTCCTGAGTAGCTAGGATAACCGATGTGAACTGTCAGTACTCAGTTTAGCCACTATGTGGGTTAATGAGGTGGCCTTTTCTGTAGCATGTGGCAGCTGGGTATTCCTGTGGATGGGCCTGTCTGTTTTGGACAACTTCTGGGCATGTGTGACCACGTCTCCCTGGCACTGGGTATGTGGACGACCAACCTTCCCCACCCCCACCCTCACCCCTCATCCCAAATCTCAGGTCCCATTCCTCTGGCCCAGACTCCTTCTGTTCCTCCCACTCTGAGAGCCTGCAGCAGGCTCCTCTGATGGCCCCTTCCAGACAGGTCAAAATCTCAATATTGGAGGCCCCTGTAGGGCTGTCTGCCTGGTGTCTGCTGTCTCTTGTTTTTGCAAGTTCTTCATAGTGCCGCTGTGGTTTCCTTCACAGGGCCTCAGACTAGAACATTTGTTTCTTTCTGCTGGGTTTTAATGGCTACCAAAGTGCTTTACCCTAAATTCGAGCTTTATTTATTTAGTCCCATGGGGCTTAAACTTATGTGTTGTCCTTTAGCTTTTTTTTTTTTTTTTTCTGGTCCTGGTGCTTGAGCTCCGGGCCTGGGCACTGTTCCTGAGCTTCTTTTGCCTAAGGCTAAGTGCTCTACCACTTGAGCCACAGCACCACTTCCAGCCTTTTCTGAGTAGTTTATTGGAGATAAGAGTCTCATAGACTTTCCTGCTCCAGCTGGTTTTGAACTGCCTCATATCTCAGCCTCCTGAGTAGCTAGGATGACAGGTGTGAGCCATTAGCACCTGGTTAGCATGTTTTGTTTTGTTTTGTTTTCCCTTATCACTTGTGTCACAGCTCCTTTTTTTTTTTTTTTTTTGCTTTTTGCTGGTTAACTGGAGATTTCTCTGCCTAGGCTTGTATTTGAACCTCGATTTTCAGATCTGTCTCTCCTGAATAGCCAGGATTACATGCATGAGCCACCAGTACCCAGATCTTAAAGGTTTTTTTTAGATATTTGCTCTACCATTTATAGCTCTTTATCTTTTTTTAATAAGATGTTTTTGTAATGTGTGTGCAGATATCAGGGGGCTTGAACTCAGCCAAGCTATAGCTTGGCTTTTCTCCTCATGTCTGGTACTCTAACCACTTGAGCTATACCTACAGCCCTCCATTTTGCTGGTAGAGATGGAGATGGAGTCTCGTGGATTCTTTTTTTTTGGGGGGGGGGGGAGGGGGTCCGGTCGTGGGACCTGAACTCTGGGCCTGGGCACTATCCCTCAACTTTACCACTCAAGGCTAGCGCTCTACCACTTGAGCCACAGTGCCACTTCCGGCTTTTTTTCTTTTTGCTTATGTGGTGCTGAGGAATCAAACCTAGGGCCTCATGCATGCATGTAAGGCAAGCACTCTACCACTGAGCCATCCTCCCAGCCCCTCTCGTGGATTCTTCTGCCCAGCTTGGCTTTGAGCCTCCAGATCATAACCTCTCAAGTAACTACAATTCATCTTCTCCAATTCACCTAGTCCACCAAATTCTCAGAAATGAAAGTCTCAGTTGCAGAGAGTGCTTGGGAGCGCCCTTGCCTCAAGCCTGAAGCTGAGTCCTACCACCCTTCTCCCTCCAGGGCAGTCTGGATATGCAGTGTATAAGTCCATCCCTTATGGCTCCCTGGAGGAGGTGATCCCCTACCTGATCCGCCGGGCCCAGGAGAACCGGAGTGTGCTGCAGGGTGCTCGAAGGGAGCAGGCACTGCTCAGCCAAGAACTGTGGCGGAGGCTACGAGGGGGAGACCTAAGGGTACCCCATTAGCACTTGGGGGGTCATAGTCAATAAAGGTCCAGAGTTATGGCCCAGGTTGTTCTCCTGCCCTGAGGCTGCCTCCTTGGGCAAGGATTCCTCTTTGTACTGTCACTGGGACTTGAACTCAGGGCCTGGGTGTTGTCTCTGAGCTTTTGTTGCTCAAGGCTGGTGCTCTACCACTTGAGCTTCCACTTCTGGCTTTTTTGGTGGCTCATTGAAGATAAACCTTCCAGAAGGCTGGGAATGTGGCTTAGTGGTACAGTGCTTGCCTACCATGCATGAAGCCCTGGGTTTGATTCCTTAGTACCACATAAATAGAAAAAGCTGGAAGTAGCACTGTGGTTCAAGTGGTAGAGTGCTAGCCTTGAGCAAAAGCAGCTCAGGGACAGTGCCCAGGACCTGAGTTCAAGTCCCAGGATTGGCAAAAACAAAAAAAACTTGGAGTAGCTAGGATTATATGCATGAGCCACCAGCTCTGCCAGCTCTCTAGATGGGCATTAACAGAGGAGTAAGGATAGGCCTCCTCTAACTCTTGAAGCAGCTCATCCTTGGATGGACTAGGTCAACAGCCAAATCTGGAAGTTGCTTTGTCTCAGGAAGAGCCTGGAGATAAGAGTTTCACACTCTTTCTTTCCCAAGGCTGGCTTCAAACCTCAATCCTCAGATCTCAGCCTCCCGAGTAGCTGGGATGACAGGCATGAGCCACCAATGCCCAGCTCCATTCTTATATTTTGAAATCAGGATCTCACACATGCTAGGCAGGTGGTCTTCCACTTGAGCTACCACACTTCCAGCCCTGGGGGAGACTGAGGCTCTCTGGGGTGCCCCGTGTGTGTGTGATGGACCAGGAGGGAAGGAAGGACAGGCAGCCCAGGAGAGCATCCTACAGGACCTTCACATCTGGATTGGGCAGAGGTTGGGGTCAGTTCTTGGTGTGAGGAGCACGGAAGTCAAGGACGCAAGGTCAGATGGCTCCAGAGAAGTCCTGGCGTGCAAGCAAGAAAGGAGGAGCAAGCACACAACAGCAGAAAGCTCTTCAGCAGACACATCTGCGGGTCTAGAACCTGGGGGGGGCCTCGTGGAGGGAGGCTACTGCGCAGGCGGACCAGGTGGGCCCTAGTGCGCATGTGTGAAGGTCACGTGGCCGTCACGTGCTGACCACTGTGGAGCCTAACGGTAGGTGCCAGCCTAGAACTTTTCAGAGCCCTCAGCTTTTCACCAGAGGACGCCTTTCCCCAGCCACTGACCCTGCCCCATCCTGGAAGCCTCACCTCCACGATGACAACCTCTCCAATAGACAGTCCCAGCCAACACGTCCCATCCACAAACCTGCCTCCCACAGCCTTCATGCCCAGCCTACAGGCCCACCTGTCCAGGCCCCGCCCACAGACCCACCACACAGCCTTCAGCCCCGCCCTCAAGCCTTGTCTCTCACACCCTTCAGGCCACGCCCACAGGGGGGCCCTCTCACAGCCTGCAGGCCCCGCCCACAGAGGACTCTCACACCCTGTGTCCCCACCCACAGACCTGCCTCTCAGCTCCAGGGCCCGCCTCTCACACCCTTCAGGCCACGCCCATAAACCTGCCTCTCAGTCCCAGGCCCCGCCCTCATGCCCGCCTCTCACACCTTTCAGGCTCCGCCCTCAGGCCCTGCTTCTCACATCCGTGGGTGAGGCTCTTCCACCTGGCCGTGGACCCTACTTAGGTTCTATCTTGCTCTCAAAGCCCTTTACCATCCTTGCCTGCCCTGCCCTAGCCCCCAGTCCCCTCAGCCCCTAGGTTTCCTTCAATCCCTTTCAGCTGTCTCCCGTTGACCCCTGACCTTCTGGTCCAGAACTTTCCCTCCTTGCCCCAAGCCTACTTCTGTTCCCATCCAGATGCGCCTTCCTTCCCAGCAGACCCACTTGAACCCCCTTCCCACCCACCCTGCCCCTCCCCTCCGTCAGCTAGGGACCGGATTGTCTCCGTCCCCAGGTCCAGCGCTCATGAGGGCCCCTAGCTGACACCCCCCACCCCCGGAGCTAAGTCAGCAGCCTGCACAGGCCCTCGAGCTTCCCTGTGGAGCTGGGCTCCATGCGCGATCCGGATGCCCAGGTGAGCCGGCTGCATCGCCTGGCTGTGGCCAGGTACACCAGCTGGGGCCTGGCCAGACTCCTGCGAAGAGGTGAGAGGGGACACTTATGAAGAGGTCAGGGGGATGGCCTGTTGGGGAGGGACCAAGGGGCAGCTTCACTGGGCTATCCAGGGCACCGGACTGTGTGCCAGGCTCTGTGGGCTCAGCTGGGGATTCAAGGAGGGAGACTCTGGGCTCCAGATGGTTAGATGAGACCCCCTGGACAGGAATGACACTGCACTTAAGTCTTACACTATGAGAGCCAAGCGGGCAGAAAGCTAGGACGAGAGCTTGGTTAGATGCAGTGTTGGAAAATCTTGGTAAAATGCCGAGCTTGTTTTTCTCCGTGGACTTCCTGGAGGACTGGGGTCCCAGGACACTGAGATGACATGGCATGTAAGGGTCAAGGGTCCCCTAGTCAAGGAGGGATTCTGGAGACTAGGAATTGGGCAAGCGCTTCCCTAAAGGCCCCTACGAGCTCCTCCCCAGGAGGACAGAGCCAGCCTGAAGCCTGGCCACCTGTCAGTTGTCCAGGTGGATGGAGAGAACTCCCAGGGGCAGACAGCACTCTTTCTCTCGGCACTACTGGGCCGATGCTCTGCTGTGCGACTCCTGCTGGACTTTGGTGCCAACCCCAATCAGTGAGTAGACAGACCTCGGGGTCCCCATTCTCCTAGTGCCAAACTCCCCTCCAGCCCCTAAATATCCCTGCCCTACAAGCTAACTCCCAGCCATTCTTTCCATTTTCCTGGTGCCCTCCGGGCTCACTGCCAGCCTCTCATCCTCCAACACCCCATTCATGCCCCGTGGCAGTGGCTCATGCCTGTCATCCTAGCTACTCAGGAGGCTGGGAGCTGAGGATCAAGGTTCAAAGCCAGACCAGACAGGAAAGTCCATGAGACTCTTTATCTCTAGTTAGCCAGCACAAAGCTAGTAGTGGAGGTTTGGCTCAGGAGAGTGCCAGCCTTGAATGAAAAAGCCAAGCAAGGGCTGGGAAGGTAGCTCAGTGGTAGAGTACTTGCCTTGCATGCATGAGGACCTGGGTTCGATTCCTCAGCACCACATAAACAGAAAAAGCGGGAAGTGGCACTGTGACTTAAGTGGTAGAACTGAATAGCTGAAGGACAGTGCCCAGGTCCAGGGTTCAGGTACATGTGCACGTGCACGCGCATACACACACACACACACACACACACACACATATTCATCCTAAAGGGCTCCCATCCTCTAAGGCTACCTATGCTGCTAACGGATCTCCTCTACCCCCAGAGCCTCACCCTGTCGCTTTTTGTCCCTATTCTGACAACATTTCATCTGTTCCCACCCACTCCTGTTTCTTTTGCCCCAGCCGCTGTGTGGATGGCAGCACACCCATGCACGCGGGTGCCTTCTCTGGCCGCAGTGCTGTGATGCTGTGCCTGCTGCAGGCGGGTGGTGACCTGCGTCTGCATGACCGGCAGGGTCGCACGCCCCAAGATTGGGCTGAGCAGGGTGGTGCAAAGCATAGCTGGAAGGTGAGCAGAGATCTGGGGTTCTGGGGGAGAGAGGGGTCTTGAGGCTAATGCCTGCACCCAGCCTCACCCACATACCCCATCCAGGTGCTGGAGCTGTTGGAGCTGTGCCGAGACCACATGGCAGCTCTGGTGCAGGGCAGGGCATTGGCATCTAATGCGATCCTGGGTCAGCTGCAGGCCTGCTCTGGGCGTGGTCTGTGTGGCGCCCTGTGCTCACTGCCAGGATTACAGGCAGACAGGTAACAGCTCCCACCCTGGAGCCCACCTGCCCACCGCCTCCCACCATTCCCATCTATTCACAGTGCCCATTACCCCAGGACACTGAGACCAGGACACATTGGCAGATCCTCTCAAGCCTCAGTCCTGGGGTTTGGCCAGGTAAGTAGAAGAGGTTTTGGGGAACAGGGACTACCTGTCTTTTTAGTGCCTCATGGCCTTGCTCCCCACCCCCAGCTGAGCAGCCTGCGGCCCCTGGCACTAGCAATGGGCATTCCCCTGGTGGACGCCCAGGAGCTGCTGCCAGCCCAGGGTGAGCCGGACTGCACCTACGAGAACAGTTCCTGCACTCTCATGACCAAGTGAGAGCCCCCCCCGTGCCCCCGCAGGGTCCCATGCCCGCTCTCCCCTCCCCTCCAACCCACCCTCTCCCACTGCGTCTTCTCCAGCCTCCTCTGGAGGGGCCACCCCATGACCGTGCGTCAGTTGAAGCCCCCCAAAACCCAGCCTGACGTGCTGCTGGCTGACCTCCAGTGCTGCAGGTACCCCATCCCAGCTTCCCCTGCCCAGCCTCTTGCAGCTGCCATGGTGATGTTTGGTGTCCAGCTCAGGGCCAGCTGGGTGGGAGCAGTCCCCCCTTCCCACTGGCAAAGTGGGGGCCAGTTCTGTGCTGGGGAGGGAAGGGTACCCCGGGCTGGTGAGTGGTCTGCTCTGCTCCCACCCAGTGCCCTGCACCATCCCAGCCTGCTGCTGCTGCTGGCCCTGAGCCTCTCGGCAGACCTGTCAGGGCTGTGCCTCCTCTTCGAGCCCGTGTGCCTGGGCTCCCTCTATGTTGTGTTGCACCAGCCAAGATCAAGTGAGCAAAGATGGCAGCCTGGGTCAGACCTGCAGCCTGGGCCCCTGCTGCTGCAAGTTCTGGAGGCCCTGCTGTTCCTGCAGGCCCGCCGCTGGGCCCATGGCGGCCTCAGCTCCCACGCTGTACAGCTGGTGCGGCCAGGGCTGGCAAAGGTGGGCAATCTGGAGCACGGGCGCCCTCTGCACCCATCCTGGCTACATCTCAGGTGAGAGCCTGCCCGCCTGTCTGCCCACCCTTGGCCCTTCCCCACCCAGCAGCCCCTGACTCAGTAAGCAACTTGGGTTTCATAGGTCACAACATGGCTACCTTCCCGGAGGCCCGGGGCCGGGGCCTCCCCCACCTCCTGAACTGTACCCATGGCTGCCCCTCGAGCTGATCCA